CGCTCTCAGCTTCAATACAAAGCACATTAGTAGGGACAAGCTTAAAATCTTGCGGTATTATGGACTCATAAATTCCTGATATCCTTTGAAAAAATATTCTATACTTTAATAGATAAAAAATAAAATATTATCTTTGGTATCGTATACATCGTTAATAATTTTTTAATTAAACTTAATAAAAAAAAAACTGTTTTTTATTTATTTGCGCTAGCTTTCTTTGACTTGTGTAGATACAAAGGCACACTAACAGGAACAGACACAGTTATAGAGAATTACCTATATTTGTAAACTCACATGGATCATCGAATATAGTTTCGATTTAATTGGAAATTCAATTGGAATGATATGTATTCAGTTTTCATAGAAATTCGTATTAATTCTAATATGCGACTAAATAATTGTAAAACTAAATAATAACATTGACAATGTATTTGGTCTATCAATGACAGGTTTTACGCACTCTTGCATTTGATGCAAATAAAAACTTTACATTTTCGCGAATTAATATCGTTACTGAAAATAAAAAAATAAATTTTTGTCCTCTTTCATATAGGATTTTTTACAATACGAAATTTTATAACCATTTTACGTCCCATAAATAAAAAGGATTTACAGAGTTTTTTTTTTATATACATCAAACGTTTGAAACATGAAACGTTGCTCCGATTGCAGGCATGGAGAAACGCGATATGAAAAGGCTGTAGATTATTACATTTGTTCTATGTGGTATTGAAAAATTACAGGTAGTAACTTTGCTGCACGGTATTTGAACACAATTTTGTTCATCTCTTCGGGACACCATTTTTACGACGAGATTTACTTGTAGGTACATAAATATTCAGAGAAAACGAATATTTATAGATTGATTTTTCAAAATCGTCTAAATTCTCGACTTCATTCAAATTGAGTCCCAATTTCTATGTATTATTCGCAATTTCTGGTTAAGACCGTGTGAATTTTAATATTACTTCTTATGAATATAAAGCAGACAGTCTCACAACCGGATCTTGCATGAGTTGGCAACGCTGGCGACGATGAAAGGGACAATACGATCACAAAGTGCGTTAAAAGGGAAAGGTAACAACTAAGCGAGATGATTCCTGAGCTAACCTCAGCTGCGGCAGTAGCGTACTCGCAACGCTTTTCAAACATTTTCACACTTTTTTCCCCGGAGGCCGATTCGTTGTACTCTTCTTCTTCTTGTTGTTCCTCTTCTTGTTCTTCTTCTTGTTCTTCTTCTTCTTCTTCCTCTTCCTCCAACAAGCCAGCCGCAACAAAAGAGCGAGTGAACAGACAGACTGCGTACATGGTGACCATAACAAATGTAGCTAACTAAGCGCAAAAGTCTCGCGAAAGCTTATTACTCGATGTTTACAGCCTGGAGGAAACTTGGCCCGTACTCTCGTAACGCGGTGTACCGCACTTTAGGAACTCGCAAGAGGAGTTCTACAGTAACTGCGACCACCGCGAGTCGTTTGAAACGGGGCCTGTGTGACAACGGGGCCAATCTCGTAATTAACATATACTCTCCTTCCTCCTCGGTTACTCTCCTTTCCTCTACTCTCTTCCGCGTCCACTGCTGGAAACATCCTGCGTGCGAGTCGATAAGACACCTGTCTTCTGTCGACGATGTCGTTGAAACCATCGGATATTTTTCAACAAGAGAATACGGCGATCCCACGAAGGATGGAAATGGCTTTTCAGGAAGTTTCCCGGCGGAAGGAAACACCGATCTTTTCTAAACCATCCGCGCTCCGTAGCAGCCGTCGCTCTAGGGCGTCCGTCGCGATCGAAGTTAATTGAGTCGTCCGTAATGAGGTTTCGGCCGCTTCTGTCGAGCAATTTTAATCGGCCGAGAGGATCGGGGAAGAAAGAGGTGCCTCCAAGTCGCGCCAACGACGAACGCTTGGAATGTTTGCAAGGAGTTATTCAATTATTTTACGTCCCGCCGCGCCGGTCCGAGGTGCCATTCGATTTGCTGCTCGTCGCGACTCGCGAGGGACAACGAGGGATCAGTCCTGAACAAATTCAACTACATCGAATAGTATTGATGCGATTTAAAAAAAAAAAGTGTAAAGTGAAATAATTTTTTGTGGCAAAAAAAAGTGGAATTAAATGCAATTCGGTATAGTAGTGTGGCAATTCGTGTTCGATGTTATATTGGATAGTCCACATAGTTATTTTTCGCTCGAATAAGGCAATTGATTGATCCTCTGGTGTCTATCAATTCTTGTCCAGTAAAACCTGATCGATTGAAAGCATAAGCTCGGTTCTTTACACAATTTGGCAGAATTTAAAAAAAATCAAGTTGTGCGTTCGCGCGAGCGATGGAATGTGTGACAATTTTTTTTCTTGCTCTGTAACATAAAATTGAGAAAAATCGACTTTATCCTGTCGAACAAAAAATGAATTAGGAATAACAATCCTGCTAACTGATATTTCCCTATTCGCGATCGATAGTCCATTACATGGAGAATACATGATCGAATCTGACCATAAAAACCATTGCGTCAACAGTCTCGTTCGTCTGCTTGCTTGGATAAGTGCAGATTACTCATTATAATTATAAGTTTATAACCTGGTAAGATAATTTTAATAATAAATTACTTTTTTATCATTTGACTACTTTCTAAAAATTATTTTAAAATGTAAATAAAAAAATTTTAAATTGTATAATAATAAAAGGCTGTGGGAGTGATTTGTATTTTTAAATGTGTTACAATTGTTCTCAATTATTATATAACAGAGCCTGAGAGTAGAGATATAGTACAGCTACAGTAACACAGTACAATTTTTTAAAGAAAGCATGTTTAACTTTTTTTGTTCTTTAAATTTTTGTGGTAACTCTTTACCCTACAAGATGAGTCACTAGTGAGCGATTTCTATTGGTGCAAGTTTCTTTGAGTCTTTCAGTAATTATAAATTATATTTTATTATTTTGCAAAAGGAACTTCCAATATTTATTCTAGAAAGTCGAAAGTATGTTGGTGAATTTTTGAAGATTTTTTAAATCATTCTTAATAGGTGAAAAAAAAACTGATCTAGTGACTCCTGTTTGTATGGATGAGGCACCAAATTGTACCTTATAGGGTAAGAGTTAATAATTAAAGAAGTAACCTACCTTCCAAAGTAAAAGAAATCTAAATGTAAGTGTACTTTACGTACTAGAGGCTTTAGAAGCAAAATTACTTTTATCCTTGTAAACCGTATACATGACAGTTCGATTTGTCAATCAGACATTAGACAAAATTCCTGAAAACCTAATAATTCGGTTCGAAACCCTAGTTGGCAACCCTAATGACAGTGTATACCCAACCAACAAGTATTTTCAGATATTATTATCATCAAACCATCTAGCATAAGACAAACAATCTAGCATAAGAGGCATTGTACGTCATAGGCTTTATATCGAGGTAATTATAGGAGTATTGCGGGGAAGGCTTTACAAGCGGACCGAAACTCACGCTTTAATATTCGATTTCGACGCTGTCTGCATTCAAGCTGTCGATTAATAATACATTAGTAATTACTTCGATATTATTCATATTTCTCGGGCGTATTACAATGTCACAATTGTACTGCCAATGATTTGTATTACGTTGCGCAGCCAGCCATTAGTGCATGTCAATATTTATTAAGCTGCTCGAGGGATTATAAACGCCTCTGTAATAATGAAGTGTGCGCGGATAATAAATTGTGATGACGAAAAAACAACGAGAAAATTCGTGCCCTTTTTCACGCTGTTGGAGTACCATAAATTGAATCAATTTTTTTCACTCTCTTTCTTTTCCTCTCTGATAAACACGGTGATAATAATCTTATAACGTTCGAACAACCAAAGAATAGTTGAAAGGGAAAAATCGTCAAAATACGAGAAAGAGATGCTTTCGAGTCACTTTATTACTCGCATGAATATCGACCCGAGTTCAAGTTTCAGTGCACTTACAAATACACTTTATTGTTTCAGACTTTGGTATAACGACAGGTCGGCAGGAGGGGCAGTATCCGTGTGCCTTTGTTTTCAACAGCAACGAGACTCGAAACGGTACATTCACGTCGCCAAATTACCCTGGACTGTATCCTCGTGCCACGGAATGCTACTACTTCTTCAATGGTCAATCTAACGAACGGGTTCACCTTCATTTTCACTTCTTCGACGTTGAGGGAGTGCTACCGTAAGTCCAATGGACAAGCAAATCCTTTCACGTTTCCTTTTTCGAAAGATTTAAAAAATGCGGTACAGCCTGATAATATGATCAATTTTAAATAACATCAAAATTGCAATAACGATAACAATTTATGTCTGACGAGTGATAGCATGTATAATAATAATGAGAAATGAAAATTAATTAACGCGAATAATAATATTTGTGTGGGAAAAGAAGATAAATTAAAAGGAGATAATAATAATCGTGCTAACGCAAAAATCGCAGTTAATAAATAATGAAACGTTTACACTTCAGGTACTTCGATAATGAATTAAATTGATTACCTGGGGGTTTCCATAACGTCGAAAGAATCAGACGATGCGTTTATACAATACAATATCAGATTTAACCCTAAAATCATAAATGTGCGTCATCAAGTTTATGATAGTTTATGACTTTGGAGTAACTTGTATCAGAGAAACTTTGTCTCATCTAAGATTCAATAGACACAATGCGACCACCTTTAAACAAATTTAGAATCTTTCCGTGAAGGTGAATCGATAGCGCTTCTCAATTCTAAACCATTACAGGAGTTGGGATGGCTCGTTATATCAAACTGCATCCAAGTTCTCAGCTACTTATTGAAACACGAAGGGAGCCCTGATGAAGGTTCAGTAACCAATATCTGAGAAACAGAGGCAATTACGTGTCAACCACGCCGCATACTGTTATTAACGAGCATATTACCCATTATCCAGTATAACAAGAAATATAACGTGTTAGAAAATAATATAACGATGTTCGCGCAAGATCCGCGCACATTACAAGCGAAACGAGGTAGACAGATGTACAAAAAGAGGTAGAGCCATAACTGCTGCATGTGCATGAAAAATAAAGAGAAACGATACGGGAAGGGTGCTGGTCGAGAAACGACCGATGGCGAGAGGGAGGATCGGTGTGTGCTGGGGTCATACGATAGCTGCTCCTAATTGGGTCGTATTAAATCGCAGGACCATCAATATTCCGGCGGCAACGTAACGCTACGTTCATTACCGGAAGCCGCTAATTAATCATGTTTCGCCAATTTCTGTCGAATTTTATAACAACGCGGCGTACGCTCGTTTGTCGCACACGGCGCCACGGCCAGGCGCCACAACGTGTATTGCGACGAAGGAACATCGGACCGGAATTCGCTGTTCCGTGTTGTCGCTCTCGGTCGGTCGATCGGTTGGTAACGCGACTTGCTTTATAAATTAATAATTCCACAACGGTCGACATCGGCTGTGCGATGTCTCGCCGCGCTATTTATTGCGATCACGTCAGCTTCCGCGTCGCCGGATCGCCCGTGGGAAGATTTTCCCTTTTTCCCTACTTCGGAAAACGGTAATCGTAAATATCGCCAACCCTCAAGAAACGAAACGAGAGTTCGATTGAACGAAATGCGCCTTCGATGCTTTACTCGTAGATGTATTTTACCAGCGTCGACACGGCTCGACCCGGCGATGCGAGGCAAGACGCGGCGAGGAGCACCGGAAAAAGATGCATACTCGGCCGTAAATCTGACCATCGGTAAACAGTTCTCGAGACGCTTTGGGTTATGCTCGTGCTCAAGAAAGCACACCGGGAAATGATGATCTATTATCCGAATTGCCATTTATGTCATAAGACCAACTAGTCTCTTTCTCATTCTCTCTCTCTCCCTCCCTCTCTCTCTCTCTCTCTCTCTCTCTCTCTCTCTCATTCTCATATGCGCATATTATTCCCTATATATATATATATATCCCACTCCGATAATAGCCCCACCGCTCATACATCAATATTTCTTTTCGCTACAATATATTATTTATCTCCGTGGATGTGTCGCCGCTTAACAACTGGATGGCCGCATAAATCTTACTTATCATCTCTATTTATCTGCCAAGCAACACTACCCCAGTCGTCCTTAATTATACTCGATGAGGTGGTAATAGAATATTATTATGCTACTCACAATATGCATTTTGTATGACAACAATGATAGCTTCTCCTTAAATGAAACGACATCTTGTTAAAATATTAACGAATATATTAATATTGTTGAAACAAGTAAAATTACTATTATTAGAAGATTGAATCTTGCTAATATTTCTCATGTAATTGCTATACTTTACGTAATACTTGCATTAGAATGCTGCGAATAATAGGCTATTAATTATGAAATACTGCCGACGAGAAAATTATAAACACAATTTATTACTGAGAGATAGCTGAGAAAAATTATCCAAATTTTATCGATATTTCAACCGGAGGTAGATATTGAAATTGTTTTGCTACTCCATTTTCTATTAGATATACAGTGGATCACAAAAAGGTTGCAACACTTTTTTTCGGTGGATTTCGGAATGCAATTGGATCACCGGAGCAATTGGTCCTCTTACTTATGGATCTAACCATTTACGTTTAATCGCTCTTTAAACGAGCAAGACTGAGTTCTGAAACGCATAAAAAAAAGATGTTGCAATCTTTTTGTGACCCATTGTATATGTATATACATAACACACACACACACATCTATATATAGATATAAAATACATATACGGAGGAATCTGGGAGACTTGACCATGTGCGAGAGAGTTGAATCACTTCAAATATCTCATTCAAATTTCAGACCAAGCAGTTGTCAAACCGCGACGTATGAATTGTACCATTTTGATTTAACATTTCTCGAAACAAATAGTTGCCGACATAACAAATAGTTGCCGATTTGATAACTGTGCACTTGGCACGAAATTTCAACGAGAAATTTGAAGTAGTTCGACTATCCCATATGGTCAATTCTCCCTAGGTATATATAGTACATATGTCAAAATGTATTTTGAAGGAAAGACGTAAACTATTTGCATAACTGAATAGCTGTTGCCAGTTCAATGCTTTTAATTATTCATAATCTTAATGTTTCCGTATTTTCAAATATATACAATTGATACGTGTATTCTATCAAAAATTGATTTTTACATGAATATAAAAAACGGAAACTAAATCTTGACAGGTAAGAGATAATGTATATGATAGATATAAATTACTTCTTTAATGAAATGCATGTCTAATAAAGTTCCTGAACTATCAGAACTTGCAAGAGAAATTAAGTCATTTAACTACTCAAATCTTAATTTTATTAATTCATTGAAAAGTGATATATTTATTTTACTTGATATACTCTAAGAGTAAAATAAATATATATCACAGAGTATATAGAATAGAAAGAAACGACACAGAAATATATCACAGAGTAATATAGAGTAGAAAGAAACGAGAGAGAGAGAGAGAGAGAGAGAGAGAGAGGGTCTACGTTTTATTCCAATGTTTTATTTAAATTTATTGAAAATGCAATTCTCGTAACTTGACACGAAAGTTGAAATACAATTGAAAAGCTTTTGTCGTATAATGTGATAAAAATGGATATATTTTATAGTATTATATTTCATTATGTACTTAATATTGTTATCATAATAGTACTTTTGTATATTTAAGGGAATTATACAATAATATGAAAAATAATTATAAAAATATGCATACACGAATGATAGAAAATGCATTCTCTCGAATAAATATTTGTAATTACAAACAATGTGTGCGCCATAAAATTTACCATTCATTTGCTTCGATAAATGTAATATAAATATTAATATAAAGCGTCGATTAATTTTGAATGTTTAAACTGTAAAATAAATTATACTTCCCCTTATTGAAAATAATACGATCTACGCTTTCCTCTTTTATCTTTATCGCTGAGATTATCTCTATGATAAATATTAGCAGTGAGCAAAATTTACAATCGATATTACGTATTTTATATCTCGTACATAGTTATGCAGTATATTGATTACAATATTGTCAATATCAAACTTTTGTGACTGATTAATGAAATGAATCAATAATTAGCTTTACTCCATTTGTAAAGTAAAAGTTAAATCATTGATGTGGAATTTTCCAGGTGCGAAGCTATATCAGCGAGTGATTATGTTGAATTCTCAAACTATATGACCAGAGATCGCAAGTATCCGAGGCACTGTGGTCAGCTGAAAGAATTCGACGTTTACAGCGAGAGGAAGTTCTTCCGCGTTACGTTCAAGAGTAACGATCGTCTCGACGCCACGGGCTTTAATGCCAGTTACGTGTTCCTGGACGAGGAAGAAAATTATACGATGAAGATACCTGCAAGCAACGGATCGGCACGGCACGGTGAGGCTTTCGTGAAATTAGTTAATTAATTATATCACGACGCTGCTTTATACCTACGCAGGTAGCTTCTGATTTTTTTTTAAGTTATAACACTATGTAACTTAAGAGTCTGATAAGATATAACAGGAAATGCGTCTTGTTAAGAAAATTCTTCTTATACTGCACGCAAAATTTTTCTTGCTATATTATTTATACTTTTAGCAAATATATACGTATATTTGCTATTTATTATCTATCTTTCAATAATACGATCATGAAAAATACGATACATATAATTAAAAAATTGCAATACGATCCTGATTCCAACTGAAGTGTTAAATTTATTATTTATCGTGTAAGTTCATATCTGTGCAATTTTTTAAAACGTTCAAGTTCATACATTTCGTTCGTTTTCAATGATACAATTATTTACGGATGGATATTGGAAATGGAAAAATGTGAGCCGTGGTGTAGAGTTACATAACTGCAATAGATAGGTATCATGCAATATTCGTTATATCAACTTCGTATTTACAAGAGAGAGCGCAGTGTTTCACATATTTCCATTATTATGTAAATATCCCATTTTAATTCTGGCATAAATATATCAAGTAGATAGTTGAAATGGCAGATGAATAAAGATTTTTTTCTGAAAGACACGATATACAGAATCTCGCGTGAGAGAAAGAAATCTTTTCTTTTTCAAAGCTTTCGAGAGAAAGAAATCTGTCAAAGAGAAAAGATTTGCCTGCAATATTATAGTTAAAAGTACAATATATTTGAATTTAACTGAATTCTAGACTTAATATAATTTTTGAAATACGACGAATTTTGTATAGAATTAATACGGTCTCTGAAAACTCACCGAACGAAGTCTCATTTCTCTTAACAGTTCTAACTTATAGACAACTATGACCACATGATGGAGTCATTATGTTCTAGTTATTTAAATGTCTTGTTCGCAATTTCTATGACAGTTATTTCACTTGATTCTTCTCTCTTACTGTACATACGCGCACGTTGTAAAAAACACCAGCGGATATTCTAGAAAATAATTGAGTCTTTTGTAACATAAAGGAAAGCCCGACAAGAGAGGCCGGTAAAAACCCCGTAGAAGGGATCTATTCTGAATTGTACGGAGATCCGTTCATTCGCATTCTCGTTTTCTCGAAGAGGCGAAAAGTCACGCGCGCGGCAACGTAAATGGATAGAAGCGGCCTGGAAAAGGTAGCGCAGGCAGAATGAATTAAGGCGGTGTACTTTAGCCCGTTTCGTCAAATCGAATTGCGCGGAGAGAAGCCCGTTATTCACTCGTTTCGCGCTGGCAAACGGGGTCGAATACCTCGGATTCGTGAAACTTTTGTTACAACTTGGAGCATTGTTGCACGCCCAATGGTTGGAGTAGCCCTGGTGCCTCTGGGCTTAATAGCTCGAAATACATCTTCGAGCATTCGGTCGTCGTTTAAATGCCGTTCTAGAGTGGTAACAATTGCAGAACAGAAAAATGTGCAAACTCAACTCAGGATTGTACGATCGAAACGTATAAAATGTATGAATCGTGTAACACATTATATGTCATTCTCTACTGATCCGATCAAAAAATCGAATGTAATCGATTCCGCTAATAATTCTTCTTTGAAACTGTGTCATGCATCATCTCTAAAAAGAATAGAGTTTTTCGTTTTAATCCTGTAATAATATTATTCGACTTGCTTTTTATCGGAACATTGTTGCACTACGAGTATTGTATAATTATGCAAAATTAAATTTTATTTATTACGCAATGTTTGAGAAATTGATTCGATGAAATCAGATAATATGAATCATTTTTGTCACAACGGTTCCGGCATACGCGGTATCTCAACTAAAATTGCCCGCTATTGTCGCGAAACAAATTGCAAATAGGACTCGGCCGGATGTGACGCATATTTATAGGCAATCAACGATAATGTCGCGTCCCACTTTCCTCATCCGCAAGGCGCGAGATTATATAGCAACAATTTCAATATTCTAGATTGTATCGTCAACTTTACAATATTTGTCTGCAGGAACCAACGTGAGATTGCATAATGAACAAACCAGTGTAACAAGATTTGCTATTAGTTTGGTAAATAGATCGTTATCATTGAATTTGATAATGATAGAATGGGCAATGAAAAAGCTCGGGATGCATTTTCTGAAGAAAGAAAAAGGAAATGCGAAATGAATCAATAAGTAATATAAAGCATCTTGATTTTTGAAGGAAAAATTAAAAAAAAAACACAATCAAAATTCATGTAAATTAATTCATTAAATTATATTTGAATACAAATATTTTTTAATAAAACAACATTTGCGATCGAATAGAACAGATTTATAAGACATATCTAAAACTATCTTTTTTATTTCGGACAGAAATTAAGTTATATATGCAATTAAATAAATGAAAACAAAAGATTAATGGGAATTGGCGCTGTATATTGAGAAAAAATAGCCTAAATTTAAATAAATATTTATTTGAATACTGCCAATTAAACATTTACTTACAATAAATAAATATTTACTTAATAAAAAGAAGTGATTGTTAAATCAAATTAATGTTTTTTGTACCAAATAAAGATATTTTTATATTTAATAAATATTTAGTTGGTACTATTCAAATAAATATTTATTGAAATTTAGGACATATTTTTTTTCAGTAGTAGTAATTGCGCTATTATTACATAAAATCAATTTTACTACATATATATATATATAAAATAGGAGTTTCAGTTATATTTTAATGACTAATATTTTAGTATCGTATTACAATAAAACGATGAAATAAATAATATAAATTAGTCGTGAGGAGAGATCCACCATTCTCCCATATAATCCCATGCCAGTTAAACAGGATGGTGCCAGTCGATTGATTGATCTTTAAAGGCAAAGTTAGAATTTAAAAACGGATGAGATTAAACATAGAAAAGCAATTGACTCACCTCACTGGAGGTGGCAAATTATATAATAGTATATTAGTCGCATATGTCAAGAACGTAAAAATTTGATGAATGATCGTCATTATATAAAACAAGTATTATTAAAAATTACAAACTGTTACAACGTTAACTAGAGAGAGGCATATGTGCTCGTTGTCATGTTAGGATTTGAACTAAAGAAAAATACAAGCGTGAATATTAGTGTTCTCTATAATGTCACAAATCATAATATTGTTAAAAATATAAATTAGATATTGTTTAAGAAAGGCATATATGTCTTGTCTAAAAATTCTGTGTCAGTATGAAGATTTAAATCATTCTCCTGTCATTTAATGTGTATCATTTCGGATATCAGCCTTTTTTTATAGTTGCATTCAGAATCCAAAATTGCCACATTATCCCATATAAATCATATTTATTTTTATACTATATTATTAATTTGATAGTTTGTCATAGCGTTTGTGAACATAGCGTATTTTCTTTTTAGTTACACATCATTCATTTTCAAATATATGCTATTATTAATTAATAAAACCTTAAGATTACTTATTGACTCACCTATCGTATTTAACGTTGTTTCACATACATGGACGACTGAGCTATAGAATCTGAATTGGGAAATTTTTGTAATGATTACTGGAAAAAATTTTTGCATTTAGTCATATTTTCCGCAACATATATGTACAATTGTTGCAAAAATATTACGGCGTTTTTATTACGTCACAACGGCTCCCCACGCTCTGTATTTATTCCACTTCGCGCTCCACGTGCGACAATAAAAAAAAGGACACACGAGGAGTAAACACGAACAAAACGTGCGATATGTATATTACTATTTATGCCATCGTTAACATGAGTTATCACGCGCGTGGTTCCATATGCAGGCCAGACGTGGATCGATAACACCACCGTACGGCTCTCTTCACGAGGTCAATTGCGAAAAAAAGAAAGAAAAAAGGAAAGTTGATCCTGATGATGAAGAGCTGTATTATCGGGGCTCACAAGTCAAAGTAATTGTGAAATCGTTGTTTTCTTTTTTTTTATTAAAGGTATCACGCTTTCGGCCCCGCTGTTGCTGTTACTGCTGTTGTTCACGAGTTGTCTCTTCGTTGGCGGCGGAAGCTCGCATTAAGAAAAGGCAGTCACAGCGACCACGCGGACGAGTCCTGGCTCAATTTACAACGAACCGCAACTTTAAGATCGAGAGCCATCCAGAGTCGCCAATAGCTCAACTCACCGAAGAAAGTGACGACCTCGTTGACAAATTTGTCGGGAGGGAGTGTGTTACTCAAGTCTATTATCCGACCGGGACATGAAGTCTTAAATTTGTCTACGCATCCTTTCTCATTCTATCTCATTCGTTCGCGTCACGTCGACTATTTCGAGGAGAAAGCATCAGCGGTGAAATACTTTTACGTTTAAACAGCGTGCAAGAGAAACGACCGTACGGACGATGTCATTCATCAGGAACTCGTCGCCCGTACCGTAAACAGGAGAAGTGGGATTAATTGGCTGCGTGGCTAAATTGCCAGTAGTAGCCCTCATGGGTAAGTTACAGTCGACAACTAATTCTTCCAAGAAGAATTTTTACTTTCGGAGAAGTATAAATAAATTTTTGTGGGGCTGGCTCGCTGCGCAAAGACATTACAATTCATTAACATTATTCCGATTTAAGTAAATGCGTCTCAAGTGCATGTAATCTCTGTTTATCGTTATAATTTAATTTTAATCATAGTTTGAAAGTTTAATGTAGCTAGCAGCTACGAAGCTACGACTTTGATTCTCAATGTTTCTTTCAATACTGAGGAAATTAGAAATTGAGCGCATACTTTCTTAAGCCAGATTTAAGCCGAATGAACGTACATGAACGAATGTGCGCCAACAATCAACGTGATATTGTTTACATTTAGCGAAGCAAGTGCATCTCAATCGAGTTTGTTCACGCTTGCGTACTATATTTAAATCTGGTTTTAGAGGAAGTTTTCATTTACTATACTATCATTTAAACTTGATTTTACTTACTTCAATAGTTTTTCTCCTCTTGCGAGAAACGAATTTTTTAAGTCATTGTAATTGTCTGTTCGTATATCACTCGAAAGTCATACATACCATAGGAAAAATTCGCCTTCATAAATACGAACGGACTTTTACTATACATCCTCTATACGACTGTGATGTTCCCATTCTTTTTTAATTCATTAGAAACAAAAATAAGTCTGATTATTCGCGATGGTGAACATTCGTAATCGATAATTAGGTTCTGAAGATATTATTAATCGCCGATCGCATCATGAAAACTTAGAAAGCGTATAATTAAGTATATTTATCATCAAAAATCCTGTTTCAATGAGTGAGCGTTAAATTAACAGGAAAATTAGGTACGTAATAATACGAAATTTTGGATCGATTTCGAATCCAATGAGAATACATAATCGCGACACGTTTAATAGAATATATGAGAGCGATTAACGATTGCAATTCTTAAAAATGCGCGTTCGATTGAGCGATTTCGGCGATGAATGTTTTAATAATGAGCAATACGTGATCGACTGAATTTACGGGCTGGTGAGAATTAAAGAGGGATATTTTGGAAACATTTTTTGAGCTTGTGGACTGCATCAATATTACACAATTTAATATCACGGATGTATTGATAATCATTAATTTCTTCCAATCTATATTTCATGATGCAAAAAATCGATCGCATTCAGTAAAAATCATATTAGTTAAACTAATTTTCTTATTAAAAGAAAATTTATATTATAGAAATTTATATTTAATAGAACTGTATGAACAAGTGTAGAATGTAGTGAAATATATATTTTGATCTAATTTTCTGTAGGAATCATTATTAATATTTAGCATTAATTAAATTTTTATTGCTCTATAAAGTTGACTGTTTTGCGATATAATTTTTTAAATATATATATATTATACGGAATGTATTTTATTACTATCTGTCTCGCTAAAGCAGAGCCTTTAATTTTCTGATAACATTTTAAGAAACAATTCAGAGGAGAATTTTCAAGAGAAAAATTAACAAAATTAATAAAATTAATTATTTTTACGTAAACGATCATTTAAGATGTTTTACACCCCAATTAAAATTATAATTAATAACATCGTATATTATTGATTATTTTCCAGTTTGATAGATTTGAGAACATTATAAATTATGGATTTAATCATAATTTTCAAAAAAACAAATAGAAATGAAATAAATGTAAAAAAGAATAAACACGTTAAATAGTTCATTTTTAATAATTAATTAATTATTAATTATTAATCAATAATTTTTCGAAAAAAATAAAGATTTTAATTAATATAATATTGTTTTTTGTTGCGGATTTTCGATGAAATATTTGAAGGTTCATAAAGAATTGTTATTAAAAACAAAAGAAAATATGTTAAATAATATCTATATAAAACAATATTTTTTGTGATAATTTACATTTTCTCGTTACTGAGGTATAAAAATGCTTTAGATATTTATATTTCCGGATTAATATTATTTTTAACAATTAAATAATAAATTAAATCTATTACAAAAAATATTTTTTGAAATTAATTACAACATATAATTATTAATTCTATTGCATTCTAAACGATTAGAAATATATGTATATTAAATTTTAATGGTTTAAGCTACATATATATGTATGTTTAATAATATATACGGAATTAATTTTTTATAAAATAAAAATTAATTTCTAATTTATTAATCAGTATAAGAAAGACAATGGTAAACAATAGAGAGTTTTTATTTATATATATTGTAAATAATTTTTTTTTAATGCCTTAGATAAAATATTGATCCTTCGAAGATTGAATTCTTTTTAATAAAATCTTATTAGATTATCATAATTACAAAATTATATTTTTGGAAATTAAAAACGTTTCTTTCTGTGATACATTGTGAAATTATTATTAATATGTAAAAGAGAAAGAAAGAAAGGGAGAGAGATAGATTTCACGTACAACTTGAACAGTTCTTTTTATGCAAAGTCATATAAACATCACTGTAATGTATATAGATATATCACTAAAGCGTCAAAGAGTTAACGAAACTGATGTCAGTTTGTTTTAAAATTAGTTTCGTACATTTCTGCATGCATCGAATGTCCGTTTTGAAAATTGTTGATATTGATGCTTTTCGTTATATATAGAGATATATAATTAAATGCAATACTTGGACTTAGAGAATCTCAGTCTATTATAGAATTATTTATATGACAGTCAACACATATACAACTTGTGGAATAGAAGAAGAGAACTCGGCTCTTCTACTCACTGTAGATTCGGCTGAATGCATCAATATAGCATTAAGTTTCTCCACTTTCTCAAAAAAATGATTTCGAAAGAAAGTTAGCAAATTTATAGGCCCGATGTATTTCCTCGAGCTTACTACAGCGATTATGACAACCAGATAGTGTCGTATTCTAACAATTCTCCGTACGTCGAGCGTGGGTCAGAATATTTGACTGTGTTTACACAAAATCATGTTGAAAAGCATGAACTCAATGTGTCGAATAAGCATGTCTTGTACGTATAGAGAAAATCAGCATGGAAGATGATACAAGTGAGGAATGAGAATGGATTTCTATGAACTCGATATCAAATTGTGTATCTATAGATACATAACTAGGTAGCAATACTGTCATTGTGTACGTTAGATTATCGTACGTCAAGTACTTTTTAAATAGATTTATAATATTTTTTATAATTTAAATAGGTTTATAATATATGTTGGTAAAAAATTCTTCCTAAAAGTTTTTATTTAATTTTTGCAAGAAAAATATGCTCACACAGTATGACTTGTACGTGTTTGCGTGTTTGTATGCGAGAAACAAAAGAAATTGCGTGCATGATGTGTGACCGGGGATCATTTTCATATTTTATTGCTTCCACGTTAACGGAGAATAAGGAAAAAGAAAAGAGGAGAGTAACACTATTAGCAAATTGAATATTTAATTGGCACTATTAAATGCTTACATGTAACTATCACCATGTAAATACTGTTACATTCGACCCGTGTCAACCACTGTCACTATACATACCATACTGTCTCAAGCCATACTAATGATTCACGAATCGAGAGAGCCAATATGAGAAGCAGTAGGTCGCAGCTTTGACAGTCGGAGAAAGTATAAATCTCTCTGTTACCATCCCATTACGTCAAAACAATGGCATTTGTTTTATGATCGGTACTTATGTGATCAACTGATTGATTAGAAATTAATTTATTATAGCGCGCATGTATGTATAAATTAATTACATGGTTAATTTTATGATATATATATATATATATATATATATATATAAATTAGCGTTAATTTGATGAAACTGATGCTTGCAATCAATCGTTTAATTGAGAGTTAATTTATTATACATGTGTATAATAAATTCAGTGACGAATTTACAACAATTTTTTTGTAAAGATATGCCACTGTCCATGAGTTTGGAAATGTGGTAAATTCAAATGATAGAGAAAATGATCAACGAAAGAAATATCTGTTGTTATTTCAACGTTAATGTATCACAAAGATAAGAGAGAAACTTCACATGCAGTGCAGCCTTCTGAAAAGTACTTAAAGTTGAAAATTCTTTGTTAAAGTGTCGTTATATATATATATATATTATATCGTTATATATATATATATTATATACATATACGTTCACACACGAACCTATGGACAGTATATATCGTGTATCTCTTTCATTGCTAATTTTTGTATTTATGCCTAAAAAGAAATTAATGAACAAATTGTGTCAGAAATCCGATAACATGTACTGCTTGGAAAGCTCCGTGATCAGGCAAGAAGTTGAGGGGCAACCTAGCAGCGCGCGTTCCTGAATCCTAGAAATGTAACTTTTATCCTTTCGTACCGCCTATTACTGGGACCTACGAGTCGAATTATCCGAGTTGCGCCTGGGGCGCTCCAAACTTTGTCCTGCGGTTAAAACTATCCGAAAGCATCGCAGTCGTGCTTCGGAACAAAGGCCCGACCGTTGATCGAAGCACCGACTTCGATATCCGCTGAAAGCAGCGGATGTATTTTCTTATTCTGTTTTGAGGCTCTTGCCCGATCGTCTCACGCATAAGTTACGAGAATGTAATGCAATCATCGTTACTGTCCTAAATAAACCTTCACGTATGAATCCATACGTCAATTCTATGTCCGTTTCTTTCTATTTGAATACCATTTCTCCTTCACGCATCCCCATCTTTCGATACATCATAGTTATAAATTCATAAAAAAAATATTGTAAACCGACGCGAATTTGAAATTCATTAAAAAATTTTTTTAGTATGTCATTGCATTTTGACGCGGAACACCGAACGATCGATCGAGATCGAACGACGCAGTTTGATGTCATCTTGTTCATGTTCAGGGAAAACTTGGGTATCGATTCACAATCAATAAAGTTCTCCTATCTGCCCGAGTTCTCTAACTGAGAAACAACCTATAATGTTGAAGAGGCGGTTAAACTTGGCCGTAACTCTACAAGATTGTTAAACGCGTAAAGGAGGCTGCTTTGTCGCTTAAGAAGCTACGAAACGAGAAACCCTCTTACGACGCATTAACATCTCAGCATAATTGTTTGAGATAATTATCTCCGGTATTTAGAACCCAGACAGATACTATCACGAACTCTGTTTGTCTCAGCAAAATCCACCGGCAACTGCGAACGTAATACGTTCGAATATATGTGTATAATTGATTCGTGAAGAGATAAAAAGATCTTATTTCAAAAAGAGAAGAAAAATTAAATATTTACCGAATTCCCATATACTATACAACGAGAAATATCCCTCATTTATCGTTAATTTATTGTTAACAGGTAATTATTTAGATAAATTTTTAATAATTATATGTTTTTTTAATGTACAGTCGTGGTTTACGACTGTAGTTACCAATTACATAAAATGAACTATATTTGTGGTCATAATTAATTATTTACGTTGACAAATTATAATAATTGGTATAATATTAAATTAGTTATAATGAATTATAAATAGAATGGAATTTAATTTACACTAATAGTTTTAATTAAAATTGAGTAAATAGCCAGTTATAGTTTATATACATTGTATTATATATATATTATCAATTTTGCATTGATTTGTATCGATCACATCCAATATGTCGAAAGAATGTATATTATAAAATGAATATGTCGTGCTATACAAATTTCTTATCACGATTGAGTTATCAGCAAATAGTATTGCGCACTGAAGATAGTAGAATATAAAAAACAAATTGTGCCGTATATTTCAAGATTATGTTCACGTAGATTTTTTACGTATTGTTTACGTTTAATTTACACGAATATTTTCATACAGACAGTATACATACAATGTAAAATGTGTAAATTATCATCGATTAAATAACACAATATAGAAAGAAATAATTAAATTTTATAATCGTTAATATATATATCTAATATTATAATACAGATAAATAAAATATATATAAGTATTGCAGTTTAATGCAATGACAATGATTAAAGACCATGTAGACTTTGATGATTCATAGGTTGTTTACTTAGATACATGTAAAACATAGTTTACATAGTTTACATTATATATAGAGTAATAAAATATTAATAGTTGAATCAGCTTTTTACCCCATGGAAGATAAATTACCAACTGCAACTGGAAAGAGCACAGACACAAAGTCCAAAGTTGGGACATAAGATATCTTGAGAACATCTTTTGATCGTCTTTAAGATGTCTTATGTCCGGATTTTGAATTTTGTATTGTCTGGATTCTTACGCTTTTAATTAATAAGATACATTTACTAGTAATAAAAATCTTTCTATTACTAGTAAATGGATCTTAGTAATTTTTAATTATAATAATTTTCTGCACAACAATTTCCGCGCTTGACTCTCATTTTTTTAATTTAATTCAATTATTTTATTATATGTTTTTATTATATTATAGGTATGTTCGAGAAGACGCTATTAGCGTTATTGTGTTATTCTATCTTTGTTTTACGTCTAATAAATGATGAAGATAGAATAACACAAATACTACGCTGGTAACGCTTCCCTAAACGTACCTCATATGTATTATACCGATTGTAATGTGTATTTGCTTATCTATAGTTTCAGGCAGTTGTGCATATAAATAGAAATATTTATTATAATAAATAATAAATATTTCTATTTACGTGCACAATATTAAAAAAATATTGATGTACAATTTTATATACTTTTTATCGTACCAATTTTAAAATATTTAATCTTAGACGAATATTTGTGTAGGAAAATGTAAAATATGTATGCCTCTTTCCACTTAATAAGCTTTTCGAAAACATTTTTTTATTTTTTGTTTTTATATATATAAAATATATAAACACTAATTTTTTTAAAGAAATTCGTAGAGAAAATCTTTGTATTTAAAAAAAAAATTTTTTAGAAGTATTTCCAAAGTTTTAATAAAACAAAACTTTAATTGTTTCAATAATCCTTCCAGCATTGTATATATAAAATTATTTATTTTTATTGAACTGCAACTCTAAATATAAGTATTTTTCTTATTATTGTTGTTTGTAACAAAAAGGAATTTTATTTTAATTTTTTAGATATAATTATTTGTAATTTGCAAATTATATTACAAATTTCAATTTGTAATATAATCAGTTATTTGTAATATGTATCTTAGATAAAGATTAGTTCAATGATAATAAAATTCTGACTTTTATTTTAATTCTCTAAGTAATATTTTTCTAATATAATTGTCATTAATTTTTCTATTTCGTATTCTCTCTCTCTCTCTCTCTCTCTCTCTCTCTCTCTCTCTCTCTCTATTCAAATACATGTGAAAGTGTAATTTCAGCACATACGAAATTAACAATTAACAAAGAACGTATCCAAGATTAAATATTTGTCCTTTATAGTTCATTCATTTATGGTAACAGATCCGTGAAATTTTTATTTATTTCATTATATCATTATAATAATAGTCTATTGGTAGGATATATCCTACCAATATTGAAAATCTATGGTTTGCTTTACGTATGTTATAGATGTTCAGTATTGGTAGTATATTCCAATCACAGTCGATGTCGCTATATCTGATATATTATATATTTCACAGATCCGTTACCTCAATAATAAAGCTTTTATCAGTTGTCACTCACCGAACGATGTGCAATAATGGAGTTATCATCCAGGTAGCTATGATGATTCTATAATACACAACATACAAAAATCAAGTTAAAATAACACTTCAAATAATCAATAATTTAAAATATAATTTTATACTTAAAAAAGTTGTTAATTACATATTTCAATCAAATATTTTTTTTAATAATTATACATTTTTCAAAAAAGAGACCTTTATGAAAATAAAATTTAGAGATTAATTTTATAAAATTTTAGATTGATTTTTTTCTCTTATTATTATATCTAATTTCTAAATCATTAAAATTCGAATAAATGGAAAAAAACGACTAAATGTATGCAAATAAGCAATAACAATACTTACGGCAAGATTGTTTCATTGACGCCTAATGCCTCTCCTAGGCCTCCTCCCCTTCTCGAATTGTCTTCTCATTCAGTCCAATTGTTCTTCTTCATAAGTGAAAAATGTTTGTCAGATTGTATTCGCGTCATGATATTTGCAAAAGGGTTGTAATAGATGCAATACTAATCTCTCTGTAACACATGCAAATATATCTAAATAAAAATAATGTATAAATATATTATTTTTAAAATAAATAATATATATAACATTAATATATATTATAATAAATATATTAAAGAACAATTTTTATATTCAAGTACCATTATATTATTTATATATTATCTGTATATATCTATATATTATCTATATATTTGTTAATATATATCAATTACATCATAAAAGTAACTATATTTTTAAAGTTTTAAATTGTATAATAATTTAAAATCTTTTATTTTTAATACAATTAAAATATTAGAAATTGATAACAATAACGTGCAGTGTATTATATTATTGCGATTTAAAATAATGTTATTATTCTGTAAATAAACAATTATTTCCACCAGTAACGAAGAATAAAATATATTACAAAATACTTCACCGTCCGTCGTCATTTCTAACTACCTCTCTAATTTTCTTTTTCTCTTTTTTTCTTATTATTTTTTAATATGGCACTCACGTAATAATTTCGTTAGAGCAAATAAATTCTTGGTTACATTTGAGAGCGGTTATAATTAATTATTAGAATAAAACGATCGCTCAGCTGCATATTCCGTTCTTGGAGTCTCGAATATACAAGTATCTATTAATTATGCGGTTCTTAAATATTGTAATGTTTTAATTACCATTTGATCGAATCTCGTTGCCACTTGTTTCGGAATCAGTTCGTATCCACGATCTACAAATAAAGTATAAATGTAAAAAATAAAAAAGGAATTTTTCGCATAATTAACATCGCCAAGAGCGACGTGTTGGTTTGGCTACTCTTGATTTTCAACTGAATATACGTTTGCGACCGAATTATCAGCATACAAGTACTACGAATCTATATTACGCGATATTTAAATGTTTTTGGAAATAAACGTGCTTCCCAAAAGCAATTTTTTTATAATAAAACCATAAAATATTCTAATAAATATAGTATTAATTCTGAAGGATAAATTTATTCGTAAGGATAAAGCATGTATGTGTGTGCCTCAAATAAATTACAAATATTATCCACATTAACATAATAATACAGTCGCTTGGTAAGTTAATCATGGATTAAGTTAATCGCAGTGATTCTTTTTAATTCAAAGCCACTTCGAATCAATCGATTAAAAAATGATGGTATGAAATTTATCAATAAAGTTCGCTAATTTATCCTTGCATGCACATCAGGCATAAATATATCATCGATCGCATAATTAATATTTCGATAAATCGTTCTCAGCTTAATTGTCTTATTGTCTTATCCAATAATGATGCGTTAATTGTATTCAAACTCGATATCAATCTTTTGATTTCATATTTAAAATAAATATAAAACTTAGCTAATGAAATGGCCATCAAATAATAGATCAATAAATTTTTTATTTGAATATAAAAATGAATTATATGAATTATTATATCATAAAAACTACTGTTAAACTAAAAGTCTATATTACATGAATATTATAAAAAATTATATACGCCTGACATCTTGCATATTTACATATATATATATATATATATAATAATAATAATTAAAAATAATATTGAAATAAACGACAAATACAGATCTATTGTCTCGGACTCGATCTATCCTGAATTCGCCGCGTTCTGACAAATGCAATCAAAATGGCGAAGAAGCTCGTCTCCACGCGATCAACTAATCCGCGCGCAAGAATGGCAAGAATAATGCGCCTTGGCCATGCGCGTCCTGTTCTTGACGAATATCGAATCTATAAGTACGCGTTTTGAAATATTATACTAAGCGAAATACAAATTTGACGTTACCATTTGATCGAATCGCGCTACCACTCTCGGAGCTGATCCGTTCCATGTTCGCCGCCAGCGTCACTTTTGCCGCGTGAACTGCGTGAAGTTGACCGCGCGTTGGAGAGACGAAGCTTCGTCTTCAGTGTAATCAGCGCACGGACGATTTTACGCGCCAAAAACGACGCGATGCAACGGCGTGATCGCCGCTATATGTCTTAATTTTCGACCAAACAAATAATTGTAAAATACGCATTCGATTGAATTATCATTGTATTAGTGTTAACTATTTATACACGCATATTTAAATATTAGGAAATCAATGTTTATATAGCGTCGCATTTTGAGACATAATATTAATAGATTGTAGATGATTTAAAATTTAAATATTTTAATTATTCGCAAGATATATAAATCACAATCTTAGCAAAATATATAAAGAAATTATGGTATATACACACGGAAATGATTTTTAAGTCTCACTTTATACTTTATATAAATCAAAATTATTTAACTTATTGAATTTACACTTATATTAAAATTCAGCGCGCAAAATACACAGATATTAATAATATAATATAATATTGAATATTTTTATAACACATATGAATTTTAAAATTGTTCAAGAGCTTCAAAAGTTCTCAAAACGATTAGTTCTTAAAATTCTCACGTATTCATCAATGAAAATATATAATAAGAATTATTATTTATCTCCTGGCTAAATTCCAATGATTTGAGCCGTTTCTCATCGAATTTCGCTTTATATAACATATCTCGATAAAGATTAGATGATCTTTCTGAAAAAAATCATGTGATATGAAGTACGATCAAGGTTATGGCTGCATTCTTTGTGAAACCGGCAACGTAACTTAATATATAATTCAAAGTAGAAAATTCACTACTGATATAAACTCCCGTAAGAATGTCGATCTATATAGTGATAAGTATCTCGTCGATGCCTGAGATTTCTGGCGGATAACATATCTACGGATCCAAGACTAGATCGATTTTGTTCTGTATGTACCGTCTGACAATAAAAAAAAAATCTCGGTGACAGTGTATTATAAATTATAGCCTGTATCGTATGTAGTAATATAAATTTTAAGCTGTTCTTATAATTTCTTGTAAAATCTTTCAGTATTATTCTGGATATGTAATATCAAATTTATAACAAATTGCAAAAATTAAAGAGAGTAGATGTGTTATCCGCCGGAAATATCATCTGTGGCTACGTAGTTCAATGTGCACGTTCTTTGCATATAAAGGCGCTATATTCTGACAACCTAACCTTGAAAATTCTGCAGTGAGAGTAAAGTATGAATTGTGTGAAGATTATGTCGTTGAATACTTTGACGTTTTGATAAACACGATTGAATCATGGGTTTATTTGGAAAATCACAGGAAAAAAATCCTAAGGAAATGGTGAGTTTCTTTAAAATATTCCTTTTTGTTCTTACATATTAATTGGTATTGATCATATTATATAGGTTCAAGAATGGACTCACAAATTGAGAAAAGAAGGTTATCAACTTGATAGACAGGTTAGAGGTAAGATATGTAAAGAAATTTTTCAAGAAGTCTTTAAAATTGAAAAATATAATCATAATTAATCAATAACAATCTTAATCTTTATATCAGAAACCCAAAATATTGAATTAACAAGCATTATCATTAGATTATAAGGAAAATGTTGAAATCTTTATTCTCAATAAAATCTAGGAAAAATATAATTTTCAATATTTTCATAAAATATTTATAATTTTTTTAATTAATCTAATCTTTCCTTTTACGTATTTTTTCATTTTACATTAACAAAAAATACTCATTCTGATATTATTAATATAATCAATCTTTTTTTGTATAGCGATTCAGAGAGAAGAAGAAAAAGTTAAACGTTCCTTAAAAGAAGCAGCAAAAAAAGGAGATAAAGATGTATGCAAAATCCTTGCAAAAGAGATTATAAGGGCTCGCAAAGCTTGCAATAAGATTTACACTTCTAAGGCACACTTAAATTCTGTATCATTACAAATGAAAAATCAGTTAGCAACAATCAGAGTTGCTGGTTCGGTCTCTAAATCTACAGAAGTAATGCAAGCAATGCAATCTTTAGTAAGAGTACCAGAAGTAGCTGCAACTATGAGAGAAATGTCAAAAGAGATGATGAAGGCAGGTATTATTGAGGAAATGTTAGACGAGACAATGGATTCTATTGAGGATTCTGAAGATATGGAGGACGAAGCTGATGAAGAAGTTGATAAGGTAAATCATTGATTACAGTAGTAACATAGTAATAAAATAAAATGATTTTTATTTTATTGCATATTTTATGAATTAGAGCTATTTGACAAATTTGTAATTAATCATTTTTAAGAATTTGTTATTAAAATTAATAACATACATAAATAATCGCATTTTAATATAAAAGCTATATTAAAATGTAACTCTTTTATATTCTTTTTTAGATTTTATGGGAAGTCACAGCTGGTCAACTCGGTACAGCTCCCGCAGTTGTCACAGAAAATCCTGGAATTGCTTCTACCTCTGCAGAAGAAGAAACAGAAGATGATGACAAAGAACTTGAAGAGATGAAAACCCGATTGCAAAGTCTTCGCAGTTAGATAAATAATTCAAAAATATTTGTATCATACAAATGTCAGGGAAATAAGTATCTTAAATAACATTTATTAAATAAATAATACAATTTATATAAATAGTAGCACTTGCCTATTTATCATAATTATGTTATTTCGCTATTTAATGTAAATATTATATTATCATATTGTAGATACTGTTTCACTTTGTAGAGCAAACATTGTAAGCACTGTATATCTATTTTCACATTCGTTATTAAATAATTTTTTTATTCTTACAATTACGAATTATTATGAAAAATTGTTGTGTAGATTAAGATTAAAAGAATAAATTATATAGTAAAATTAAAAAATTTTTTAATCAAAATTAAAAAAGAAAATTACAAAGATGATTGAATTAAGCTTTTAAGAAATCTTTAACTTTTATCATTTTTTTGTATTTTATCATTTATTTATAAATTTATTTATAAATATAATAGAAAAACTTTGAATTTGGTATTTAATATATTATCTTTTTTTGTTAGTTCGTAATGTAATTTGATGTTTAGCTATTTGCTTATAAATTATTTTCAAATTATTTATGAGTTGAAGTGAGAAAAAGGCATACAGTTGCAGCAACGAAATAAATTCTATATAATACAGTATTTTTAACAACTTTATAGTGAAATGAATATTTTATGTTGAATAATATTGTTAATAAATAAATAAATTATAAATATATATTTGTATTATTATTGCAATATATCGATATTTTTATTATATCGCGTATATCCATAAAAAGGTGTTGATTGAATTTATATATAAGCTTTAAGAATATTTCCTTCAGAGAAAATAATTCAGGCTTCTTTTTGAATTATTTTTTTATTAAAAAATAATTCTGTGCAATTAGTAGTATTTCTACGCAAACATTGTTTAATTAATAAAAATTAAATAGGAATCAATTTGTCAAATCTTTTTCACTTAACATAAATTTTATTTGTAATGACATTATTACAATTATTAATATTTTTATATATATAAATACATAGCAAAAATTTTCTTCGACTACGAACGTACATGTACCGGGAGTAACCATTTCTTTTTTATAAATTTTTATAACAATGTGTTGTAGAGGAAAAAAAACTTTGAAAATAATATATTAATTATTACTATACAGTGCTGTATCTGGCATTTATATAATTTTTTCTATAAGATCTGTGTTTATTTGGCAGAGAAACTGTGTTTAGATACTCAAAAGCTATCTTTAATTATAGCTATCTCTTTTCAGTCAATAATTAATTATTTTCAACAAATTGAGAAATGATCATCATTTAGGCCGGAATCAGACTATGCATTGAAGATTTAGATTAAAGATTAAAGATGGAAATTTCACAATGAGGACAAAGAAATTTTGGCTTCTTTTGTTCAAACATTGGTCAAACATCAATCTTTCAATCTTTAATCTCATTTAATCTGATTCCGGCCTTACAAATAATTTGCTTATGGTATCCATTTCTATTAAAAATAAAGACAGTTTCAAAAAAATGTTTATAATATTTACGATACCATTAAATATATTATCATAAGTCAATACAGAATACATTATCTAAGAGAAATCAAAATGTTACAAGTAAACCACAAAATATGAAAATTATCATTATCTTACAATTAGAAGAAAAAATAAAAATATACACAATACTTATCTTTCCTTTGTAGCACAGTTTCTTTGTCAAATGTCATTTTTACATTATGAAATGAGAATCTATAAGTATGTAAATATTATATGTATATGTATGTACAGATTGGCGCACGAAATGTCATACTATTTAATTATTTCATTAAAACTATATTTGCGAAGTATCGGGTTTTTTAATTATGTAAGCCAATTCGGTTCCGCACTTTGTGGAAATTTTGTTAGCTGTAGCATCACGAATAGGAATTGGACGGAGGTAAAAGCGCACAGTTTATAAGATAGCAGATAACAGACTGTTGACTCATGGTGAAATTAGAATTTTGATTCCACCATGTGTTGACTTAAAATGTTGAGCATGAAGTAAAAGTTGTATTGTTTTTTGCGAAAACAAAGGATGTGGCGAAGACGGTTTCATTTACATCATGTAATTGTGTCGTGTGTTAACTGAAGATTTGTGTCGAAAAAAAGTCAAATACAATACTCTCCAAAAAGTTGTAAGGTAAAACGTCAGTTATATTAAATATTATCCATTAAAGACAATTTTGCTAATTAATTCTATACCAATTTTGTTAAAAACAAATATGTTATATGTAAAACAAATGGTATAACATTTTATACGCCATCTTACACACACATACACATACACACCCATACATCACACAAACGCGCGTGCGCCACACACCCACACACACACGCGCACACATACACACATATACACACACACACACACACACACACATTGTTAATATAGAATACGTAGTTAATTATAATGGTACATTCTTTATTATTATTAACTAGTCTATTCGTAAATTGTTTTTCTTTCTAATTGGATTCGG